GCCTATTCAATACCAACATTTCAGAGACCACTTGGTGCGTTCACCAGTATATTGTGCATTACGAAATTGAAGAAGATTGGTGGAGAAGGACATCCTTGATGAACGCCGCTGCTGGTGACAAACTGCTTACCTAGTTCATTCTTTCATTCTCTTCATTTTTACTGCCTTTTATTGAATACACAATGATACAATTTTCAAGAAGGGNAAGAAGGGGGAAGCGGCCAATCAAAGGTCTGCCGTACAACATGCAAATGGGGAAAATCAGGCGATGGTGGTGTGATTCAAACACACGTCCCCGGGGTGATGATTTGGCGATGTTACCACCACTCGACCAGAAGTATTTGAGTACAGTGATCTCAGCAAGTCAACGTACTTCTGCGGCATTCCTTTTTTGAAGAAAACAACCCATCAGAGCTTCGCAGTCAACCGAATCAAAGACTCCTTTCAATTCAAGGAACACTGCGATCTTTGGTCAACCGTGGGCGTGACAGCTCAAGGACCCAACGCAATGTAAAAATCTGATCAAGACATCCACAGCCAGGTCGGAATCCGGCTTGCTGTTCACGAATGTTGGTCTCGCTCAAAAGAGTCAAACGTCGAAGTATGACCAAGGCACTTTGGTGACGATTAGGATCTAACTTATCCCGTGGTGGTTTTTGCAATCGTTGCGCAATCCTTTCTTGAGAATGATAACGATTAGTGATTCGCCCCAAGATGAAGGAATGCACTCTTACGCCATAAGGTAGTAATAGAGCTTACAAGGTTATTATCCTCTCTCGAAAAAAGGTGGAAAGGAGCCCTTTCTGGTCCTGCTGCCTTTCCTATCTTCAGAGTTTGAATGCAAGACCGAACTTCTGTTTCTGCTGGAGAATCGCTCTTCACTGCCCACGGGGCTTCAGTTGCAGATGAAGTAGCCGGACCAGCGCCATACCAGCTGGAGTGTTCCGCCCAGCGATCAATTCTTTGATCCCTGTTGTGAATAGCTTGTTCCTTCTTTTCGCAAACTGTTTCACTAACTAGTGTTCACCGACCTCCCGTATTGCATATTAATCCGAACAGTTAAAGTCACTCTACTTGCGTACTTCTGGTAGCTTACGAGTCTACGGCAAGTTGAGCAGATTGTTCAAAACCAGCAGCGGTGTTCTTCAAAGCTGCTCTATCTTATCATTCCTATTCAATTTCGTCGTAGACGAAATACTGGTGAACGCACCAAGTGGTCTCTGAAATGTTGGTATTGAATAGGCAGTTGGAGAAAGACTGTGACTTGTAGTAGGCGGACGACATCGTTTGCTTGTTCGACTGTATGGAGGTTACACAAAGTGCACTTGACAGACTAACAAATTTTGTTCCTCCGTTCGGTAAGCACTGTGTACCTTCAAAGTGCAAGGAAATGCTGCAAGACTAATTGTCAACGGGTACTGTTTTGAAATCAGATGGTTAAGAATTTGCTGAATTTGACTGCTTCTCGTGCTTGGATAGTCGTGTGACCAACGACGGTAAAGCAACAAAGGGAGATAACTGCCCGCATTTGCAAGGCTCGAGCAACGTACGTGAGACTTAAGCACCTGTGGCGACAACGTGACGTTTCACTGAGGTTGAAAAGTCGCGTATGGTGTGCCACTTTACAACCAGTTGTACTATACAATTGAAACCTTTGATTTCCGGGTCGAAGACATCCATCACCTGGAGGTTTTCAATGTTTGCGTAGTCTGGCCAAGGTGGGTTGAAGTGAGTGATTTAGTATTCGAGATGTAAGTCGTCGTTCGTTTGGGAATGCATTGACGAGAAACTCTTTGTCGCATCGGGTTCAGCTCAATAGAATCCACAGGTTGGAATGTTTTTCGAATATCTAACGGTCGCCTACTGCACTGTGTCTTATTTGCAGTGGTCGCTCCAGGCTGGAGAAAAGCACGAGGAAGTCAACAGATGACGCGGAGATTAGGCATAAAGAAATACTTAGAGCTATTAGGTTGAGTACGTGTCTCTGACCTTCCGGGCTGGGGTTAAAAAAACTCCGTAACTGAATGTCGTGGCAGCGAACCGACAGCGGTGACGTTCTTGTTGTCACTTTCTAAGAATCCAGAGCGCTGGAAATAGTGTGTATGCACATCTGGACGGTGTACTGCGTGTGTTGACCAAGGATAGTCACTTTCTTCCTCTTGTTCTCTGTAAATAGGTCCAATCCGTATCCACCGTACCTATTCTCACCTACGTTGTATGCATTATGAATTTGTGAGCAATCATTGAAGTTCCCTTCGCTTTGCTACGCTGTTCGATGCGAAGTGTGATGGCTGATTTGTTGAGTAGAATCCTTTCGCTGCTTTTATCAAAGCCCTTTGTATCGGTTGTTTTTTGTCATCGATGAACCGAAGTAGTACGGTGTTTTTGCGTTGAATATTTGTGAGACTCTCGTCGAATTTAATTCCTTCATTACTCGTTAAATTTGAGTACTATTTCATTTTAGCTTTGGTGCTGATTTTTCCTGTGCTCGATTTATCGTCAATTAAAACGTGCTAGGGGAGGGTCTTTTGTGTTTTGCCGAATACCCTGGTAGCCGTCACTAGCTATTCCTGCAACAGGTTTTTATCATGTCAGTAGACGATTATTTAACATGTTCAGGTATGCTTTGGTTCATTTTCCAAATATCGGTCCATAAATGTTGCGGAGTAGTATATGAATACGTCTCGATGAAACATGCATGTGCGATTCTGCAACAAGATCTCAGTTGCAGCACAAAGATCACGTAATTATCTCACTGTTTTTTTGTCATCTTTTCTCGATTTTCCCGTCAATAAAGCGAATACGTTAGTCATTTGGAGTTCTTGCTCAATTTATTATACCTGGATAGTCCCACGTATGGTTCCACTTTTTCCCACCCTACAGAGTCACTTGAGCGACGTCCACTCCATGTTATTTAAAGTCTAAACTGAATGCGTGCTATGGATACATGATTGAATTTACATCGATCTGTTGGCCTCTAACACGTGATTCTCACGCCATATATCAGCGCTCAATTTGTTTCCGTTACTACTATTGTCATTTGTGTCAACACCCATGTATGTATGCTACTCTAGTCAGCTGACAGATGCTGTGCTTACTATTGACCTGCTGAGTTACAGTGTTGGTTACCTTGCGATTCAGTACTTTCCTTCTACTACCATCGACCCTTTTGTTGCACCGTGGCATTCAGTTTCTTGCGGTCATGTAAGATGCTGTTCGTTTCCCTGCGGATCAACTCTGTGGCACAAGTGATCCATACATCTTTCAGACGTGGTATTTGATCTCATATATCTGACAAATTGCGTGGGTTTTATCGGCTAAATTCAAATATTCACTTTTATGTAATCTGCATTTGTCGATTGAATATAAAAACCTTTGAACTCGGTCAAGTGCCATCTGCTCATCCTCACTAAACCACATGGTTCATGTGTTCACCGGATTTACGCAGTCATTGGACTTGACTGAATTTGGAACAGCTTGAAGTGACTAGTAAGTGACATCAAGCGCGCCTAAGGGATAACGTGTTCCTATTAGTTGTTAATTGTCGATAATAATAGTCCGTTCATGGTGGTTGGGGTGCTGTTCAATATGGTTGTACGTTTAAACCGATGTTACGTTATCAGATAGTTTTCACCAAACTGCACTCTTCCCTCTGGACTTATCCAGGTATTGTGTCAAAACTTTCATCGGACACACGGAATGGATTCGCTCCGTCCGACCCTCCCCGGATGGCACATTGTTGGCCAGTTGTTCGAACGACCACACCATTCGTATCTGGTCTGTGGAAACTCGTGAATGTGTCATGGTATTGCGCGGACACGAACACGTGGTTGAATGCATCGTTTGGGTCACGCACCCGAACACGGTGATGGCTATTACCAATCCGAACACAAACGAGGAAGCAAACACCAATCACAGCGGTACAGATTCGATCGATCTAAATCCTGAACGGATCCAGAATGGAATGCCTACAGAGGCTGAAGCACTATCCAAGCCAGTTAATGCCTCATTGTACCTAGCTTCTGGCTCTCGGGATCGCACGATTCGATTGTGGGATGCGTCTACGGGGCTCTGTCTGTTCGTCTTGGTACGTGCCCAAATTCTTTCCTAAACGCCACACGAGTTTTTAAAGACACACATATATATATATATATATATATATATATATATATATATATATATA